GTCCAAACTCGCTGCGAACGCCGTTTCGAGACCCGCGAACTGCAGAATTTTATTAAATGTGTGTGTTTTTAGTGTGTGTTTGTGGTGTAGCTATAAAAAGACATTGTGCTTTGTTATTTGGGACACAACCCTCATTTTCCTAACTTTTAAGTTGGGAATTCCTCTCTATTTTCTTTTTTCTTTTTTTTTTTTTATATTTTGGTTTGGAGCATATGAATCAAGTTTTCCGGTGAATTTCCGGCGACATTGTTTCGAGTAAAGTTTCGAGCTTTTGACTCCGTTTCTCCTTCCAAGTGCGTGTAAGAGTGGGTACTTAGTCTTAAGCCTCATTACTTCGTATATCTTTGTTTGCTTTCGTGAAAATTGATATTGTGCTTGTGTTGGTTGGAGGAAAAGATTGAATCTTTGGATCGAGAACGCTTGACTAAGTATGACTAGGAGTTAAATGCTTGCTCGTTTGTGCTAGAGTTTAATTTAGCTACCTAGGGTTTTAGCTAGCATGACAATATTCGGTTATTTGTGCGTGTTTGATCATAGTGACTCCGGCAAACCAAAATCCCTCTTTCCCCCTTGATTTCTCTCATCTTTTTACGTGATTTAATTGCTTTCAATGCCCTCAATTTCGTAGATTAGTTTAGCTTAATTCAAACCCCCCCAAATTTGCGAGTAGAATGTTTAGGACCTTTTTGGTTGTGTGACTTTGACGACTAGATAGTGAACGAAGCTCCGAAGAGCCTTCCTTTGAGAACGACCCGAGTCGGGTAACTCGGTTACCACATGCCCAAAATTACTACAAACATTAACCTATTGGGATTTGATACTCGGGTGTTATCCTGGTGGGATCTTTTTTTCTTAGTAACTTCTGTTTTTTATTTGAGTAGTTGGTTGTTGTAGTTGCGTGTGTTGTTATTATAGCTTTGCTAGGGTCGGCATTCTAGGCGGTCTTCTGACATGTCCTCCCACTTTTTCAACTGTTAACTTTTCCATCAGCTAGGGATTGTGCATTTGCACATTTGTGCATTTTGATTTATAATATAATCTATCGTTTCGAAAAATAAAAATAAAAATAAATAGTAAACAATACTCATAGTTTTATTGAAATAAAATCTTGTCTGCATTCATTCAACTCTTAACTGAAACATTACAATGCAAATTGAACCAAATTAATTATTTCATGCAGTGGCAAAATCAACTTGTCCATTTAACCATTTGCCAATAACCAGATCATATAATATTTAGACTTTTTCTGCATAGACTCTTGTAACTTTTTCTGCATAAACAAAATAAAACCTCATCCCCTTTTCCCTTGTAACTTTTTCTGCATAGACTCTTGTTTATTCATGTAAAAAAAACACACAGAGACATAAAACCTTCCCTTTGACAACTGAGTATTAGGATCAGCCCTTAGTATTACCATTAGCAACATATTCATCCCCACCATCCATAAACCTCTTCCACAGCCAATGCTGCTTCCACACCCTCTCCGTCATCTCCTCTATCGGCACATTCTTCGTCTCCGGCACCAGAAAAAACACGAACACGGACATCACGAAAACCCAACCGGAAAAGAAGAGGAAAATCCCATACTTGAAGTGGCACAACATCGACAAGAAAGCCTGCGCAATAACAAACGTGAAGACCAAATTCACGCACACGGTCATGCTCTGTCCTGCAGACCGCGTCTCGAGTGGGAACGTCTCGCTCGGGATGAGCCACCCGAGCGGGCCCCACGACCACGCGAAAGCCGAGACGAACGTGCAGATGAGGACAACTACAAAGATGGCGTAGCCGTGGCTCAGATTCTCGGAGGTGTCGGTGACTTTGATGCCGAGGATTATCGCGATTACAACTTGGGAGATGAACATCTGCACGCCCGCTTCCAGAAGGAGCACTCGCCGCCCCACCTTGTCCACCGAGTAGATCGACACGATTGTCGAGAGCACGTTGATGGCCCCCGTGATGACTGCCGAGTACAGGGCAGCATCGTTACCGAACCCCACCGTGTTCAGGAGTACCGGCGTGTAGAACATTATCGCGTTTATCCCCGTGAACTGCTGGAAAATCTACACCAAAACAAAAACTTTTTCTTCTTAAATGAAAAAAAAAAACAAACAAACAAAAACACTTATGACGACTAAAAAAATTGGAGATTTAGTATGTATCTGGCACCAAATTGAGGAATTGTCCGTTAGTTGCATTGATTTTACAAAACACCCTGTAACTGTAACTGCAAAAAGTGGCTTTTGGTCCTTCCACGGGCAAAAACCGGTCAATTTGACTGGTTGCTGAATTGGACCAAAAGTCAAATTTTTTGCACGTCACCAGGCTATTTCTCAATTAGACGTCAGCTACCGACCAGTCTCCAATTTTTCTTATGATGAGTAGGAAATTTAATTAACTACATTGGTGGAGATATATACCTGCAAAGCAAGGGCGATGATGAGCTGCGGGCGATTTCTTCTCATGAGAAGGTTACGGAAAGGATGCTTCACGAGCTTGGCCACGCGGCTGGCCTCGACAAGCTCTAGGAACTCGGGCTCGACATTCGGTGTGCCTCGGATTCTTTTGAGCACGGCTTTTCCCTCCTCTAGATGGCCTCGTTCGATAAGGCTGTTAGGGGTGTCGACCACGAGTAGGGCGCCTAACGTAAGGAGGCCAGCGGGTATGCCGGCGAGCCCGAGTGAGACCCTCCAACCCCATCCTCCTTTGATTCTATATATGTACATGGAAAATTACTGCATCTAAGTTCATCTCAACACAAATGTTCCTATTTTGAATGAAATATTATTATGTGGGAAAAAAAGACTTACTTAGCAGTGCCATAATTGACAAGGTTGGCGAAGAGAATCCCAATTGTGACGTTGAGTTGGAACAATATGTTGAGACCGCCACGTATTCTCGTGGGCGCGATTTCTGACAGGAATAGCGGAACAGCCTAACGAATAGACGAATAAAAATAAAAATAGTTGTATTTTCAGTGTTTAAAATAATAATAAAAATAACTAAAACTAATTATTAACTTAATATTTAATTTCGGTAGTTGGGGTTGCTTTATTTTTACAGGACTATTCGGTCGAAATTTTTAATCGTTAGATTAACTATCTCCGCGGTTACTGGATGATCTAACGGTTACAAATTTGACGGAATGGTTCAGTAACGAGACTGTTACTAGATGATCTAACATTTCCCTTATTTTTATCTAGTAGAGATGTTCAATTTAATAAATACTGTAATTTTTTTTTTCTATATTTGGTGATATATATATATATATATACATCAACTGTTTTTTGTAACCGTCATTATATTTTTTTGGGAGATGCTATAGTCTCGTTACGAAATTATTCTATTGAAATTTGTAACCGTTACATCAATTATCCCTACTACGGTTACAAACCCATAGTATTTCCCTTTTTTTTTAATCTGGTAATACTACTGATAGTATTAATTAACTGTATTCTATTTTAAAATACTGGATATTTTAATATTAATATTTTTATAGTTGGATAAGCACGAGAGATCTCATCAATATATAGTCAACTTAAACAACGGCCAAAAACTATTTGAAATTGCGAAAAAAAAATGCTTGTTCCACCAGCTACAAAAAGATAATTTTTTTTCATTTTTTTTTCTATCAATTATTACTTTTAAAAATCTTTAAAGGACAAAAAAGGAAAACAAATGCTTTTTGAAATTCAAAGGGGAGGGGCAAAATAAGAGGACCACATCCTTATAATAGGGGCAGGCTCAACCATAAATTCCAGGCAAAAATATCTCCTTTTACAGATTCTTCAACAACCCTATTTCCTACTTTAAAATTTTGGGTACCACTTATCAGTCAAATGAGTTATACCGAGTCATTCATAACTTTATGTATTGACATGAGTCTAATCCCTCCCTATATATTAATTCAAAACGTGTTGAGCCTAGGTGGCAGATTCTCACGCTTCGGATGCTGACATGTCGAAAATCTATGCTTCGTAATATTATTTTTGCTCTGGAGTTAGGTTTGATATTAGACAAATAATTTTACACATATATTCATTAACTCAACATCCATGTTGTACGTGGGTATTAATACTAGTGTGTATTTATTGCAGAACAAGTGTCAATTTACCATTTACGGATAACTATAGATGAGTCATCCGATTGCTCCATAGCAAAACTGTTGAGTTATATGTATCTATACGAGATATCTCAATCTTTATTCAACTTATATTTAAAATCTAACTCAAATTAACTCAACTATGTTATTCTCAATAATATCAATATAACTAAATGATATCGGTAAATCATTCTTACACATCGCATCAACTTTAATTTACTAGTCGTTCGCACACGTAATTTTAACTATCATTTCAAATCATCTCTCTTACTTTTACGTCCAAAATCAACTTTGATTATTTTAATTTAAATATTATGTTAATATAAATTCAAAATTTCATTAACAATTTTTCATATTATTTTTTTTAAATTAACTCCGATAAACTAAAAAAAACTAATTTTAAGCAGAAATATTTGTATACAAAAAATTCTATGGTACCCACCAGAGTTCTCTTACGAGCCATCCAATAAGAAATATATTTTTCTCCACCATAATTTTTTAATACTCTCTCTCTATATATATATATAATTTTTTTTTGTATATATAAATATATATATATTGTAAATAAACAATTTATAAATCATAATTGCCTAGTTTGTCAACACTAATATTTGGACTATTTTCGCATTACTCTGCATCAGCAAGTTCAAAATAAGCGACCACGTACCTTTAATTTCCTTTTGACACGCCAGCGAATTAAAAATTAAATAAGGTCACTTTTATTTCTTTAAAAAAATTAACCTAACCTTGGCACAACCTAAAAGTGATGCTGATGTGTGAACACCATCTTGTTTTGACAGATACTTATCACCAATTCACCACCATATCAATCAAAGCTCTCCCATTCCATGACATATTAAAAATGCTCTGCATGTGCCTCTGTTTAACATGCTTGTCAATTTTAACTACACAAAAATATCTATCTATTTCATACAAGCCATTATTGTGACAATTACTCCAATTATTCAAATAAAACTTAATTTCACCACGTCAAGACCATGGAGTTTCACTAAGGTACACTTAGATTCACTCTTTTATGGTGCGTTATCCCAGTTATAATAAGTTTCTCGACACAACAACCACATATATCATATACGATTTGAACGAATTATTAGGCAATGAATGATCGTACCTGATTAGCAAAACCTACGCCACAGCCTAACAAAATCCGGCCGATTATGAGCATGGCTAAATCCTGGGCAGCCGCATTAAGCACGACACCAACTATAAAGAATAAACCGGCAATCAACATAGTTAACCGCCGGCCGAGCCGTCTCGTCGTGTAGGAAGCGAAAAATGTGGCCGTTAAGCCGGCAAGATAAAGGGATGACGTGAATAATTGCAGGCCTTGATTGTCATATCTGCAGTAATTGCTGTCTAAGTGTGCATTTTGTGTTTTCTCGTACACCACTGGGAAGAATTTCTTCAGGAAAGGGCCCATTGACGTGACGCCACCTGTAATAATAAAAAAGTTGTTTTTTAATTATTCATTTGGAAAATTATTATAAGCTTTATTGATCTGAAAAAGTAATACTATTTTGGGATAATACTTTTTCATTTATATTTAATCCAAATAATTATGAATTGGATAAGGGCTGCGGGAGTCACGGGGGCTAAATTTATTTTGGTCAAAAAAAAAAAAATAATAATAATATATTGAAAAATCATAAGAATTTCACGTTGGATACATATCTTATGAAAAACTATTGAAACCAAATTTAAGAATTTTGAATTGAAAAGCTATAAATTAATTAGTCATTTTTTTTATGATCATGTAAATACTTTTTAAGCAAAAATGTTAAATTGAGTTTTGTAAACCTACTTACTCAATCTACTAGAGTTACTTTCAACTATATATTCAAAGTAAAATATTTAATTTTCATAGGAATATAATTTAACTAGTATTTGAATCAAACTAGCTCTTAACATAGATAGCCATAAGATCTATTAGAAACTCCCCTCTCATTTTTACCGGTTTTGCTATGAAGCCAACAGTTGGTTTCATAATGGAGCAACTTTCTATATACAACAAATAAATATATCATATTAATAAAATTATATTAGTGCTATTTAAGTAATCAGAGAATATGGTAGATTCACTTGTTGTATATAGAAGATTGACTCCACTATGGAGGCAACTGTTAGCTTTATAGCAAAACCGATCATTTTACTTATAAGGAAAATATATATTATTTTAAGTTGTTGCAAACGAAAAAAAAAAAACCTTAAAACATATAAAAAAATTTAAAAAGAAAAAAAAATTGGACTACCATAAGGATTATTAATAGTCTTTTTTATATAAATATATATATGTTTATGTATATATATATATATATATTTATTTATTCTTTATTCAAATCTAGTAGTTAAATCTGTTACTTGTGTTAATAAATAAGCAGATGAGACCTAAACTATAAAGTAATAAAAAGTAGAACAATAGGTGACATGAAAAA